CTCACTCGTCCATCTATAGGCTTTCTTTTGTTTGTAAACATTGGCGCCATATTGTATGGGCTGCCGTAAGCGCATAAATTGAAGCCGTGGTTGGCAACGTATTGTTCCAAAAAAAAATCCTCATAACGCCATAAACACATAGTAAAAAGACATGTGTAGGAATTATATTGTAGCTTTGTTGAAAATGTTGTACTTTCAAGTATCGAATAATATTTTGGTGATCTGTACTAAGTCTTCTTCATTTTTGCAGTGTTGGACCTTCCATATTTTTGCAGGCCGTGGTTGGCAAAAATGCAGTTTGTCAACCAATCGCAGAAAGGTCTATTGGAGCGGTTACAGCGCCACCACGCGGCAAACATTGTCGTGTGTTGGACTGGCCGTTCCAACCGACCTTCAGTTACGAGATTTTTTTGTTTTAGATAATGTTGGTATCATCCAAACTTTATTATTGTTGTATATATTCCACACATAGCTAGGTTGATTTTTGTGTAAAGCTAGTTTGGAACTTCATCATAAGCAGATTTGTGTCGTTTATCCAACATGGCGCCGCACAGCCCCATTAATATGGCTGGAATACTGGACTACCTCCGTATATCAGCAACTATTATTTGCCATATGCCCTGTGCATGGAAGGTTCCGTTGCTAGTGGAGCAGAACATCAAATTAAGATTGGAATTTTTTTGTCACTTAATACTCACACAATAACGTCTACAACTGCTTCAATAGGGAAAAATTGAATTCATAATGAATTCAACGTGTTTTTTTTAAAATTAACTTCAGAGGACTAGTAATATTGTAATTTCGGGTTGAACTCGAACGAATTTCTGCTGCTATTGGTTCACGATAATTAATAATACTTTTAGGGGGCAGCGATAAGGCCCCCCCCCCCAAAAAAAAGTCTCCGGTTTCTGGTATGCGCGCGCGTCGCCGTAGCCATGCATGCGCGTCGGCAAAATTATTATTATTTTTTTTCAATGTAAGATGATGTTTCAAAACCGCAAAGCTCACTGGTTCGACTAGAAACCTGCTGCTGCACAATTGAACGTATTTTTAGATGGGTCTACGATCGATTATAAGCTTTATGTGGCCTCTCTTGGCTCCCATACACTAAATTTAGTCGGGCACCATAATTATGCAGTCATCAGCCAACATTTGCTTTTTCGCATCTTATAAATGTTTTGCTATGTTTGTCCTTTGCAGTCACTTTTTAGCTTTTAATACAGACGGTTAAAGGTAGTTAATGCTTAGAATAATTCCAAAAACAAAGCTTTTTCACATGACGTCACATGCCCTGCGATGATGTCATCTTGAAAATCTTTCTCAATGCACATTTTGTCATTGTGGTCTCGGTTTAAACCAAGTTTATAGTCGATCCGATGAAAGAAAGTGTGCAATTTTGGAAGCAGAATAAAATTATAAATATTAAAGAAATCATAAAAAAATCAACCGATGACGTCATCGTGACGTCACTTCGGACTTTGCTTACTGGTTCCATTATCTACCTACCCACCAAGTTTAATGATGATCGGACCTTTCCTTATATGTGTTTAGAAAATTCGCATTTTGATGATGTCATGATGACGTTACACATATTTCAAAATTGTGTGCGAAAACCTATAGTGCTTTATGCAGTTAAAAGTTGTTCAAAATGCTTAGAATAATTCCTATAATATAATTGTATCACATGTGCAAAAATACATCTCATCTTTTAAAACTTTGATGAGTCAGGTACTTCCGGTTTGACCGGAAGTTGCAGTTTCAGTAGTCAACAAAATGTCATAAACTAAAAATGTGTTTGTGGACAAACACAGCTGCTTCGGCTCTGGTTTCACAGTGTTTTATAGAAAAACGTGTACAAAACCTATGGGAAAAAATATATTTTCAAAAATTAATAAAAAAATTAGGTGATGACGTCATCATGACGTCATAGTCTTGTCATAATTTTTGTATGAGGGTCTTCCCTTGCTGTATAAAAGTTATAAAAATGGTGGCTTGAAAACGTGTACAAAGTCAATGGGCAAAAATCCCACTGCAGAAAAACTGCACCTTTAAATAAGTGATTTGCCTTTTATAAACTGAAACATTTTATAAAATATTACTTAATATTCTGACTCTTGGGAATATTTTCAATCAAATGACACAGCGTAAAAAATACGATTTCTCTATCCTTCTCATAGTAATTCTCGGCCGAAGTTCAGAACTACTCAGTAAGATATATGGTAATAACACATGTACTGAACAATTATAACTTTAGTCTGGTTTGTGATAGACTGGTTCCCGGTCCCTCAATTGTCCTTCGGACTTCGAATGCAGGGACAAACCTGTAGCGGGCAATGAATATGCAGGACTAGTGTAGGTCCGATTCCCACCCCTGAATACAAAATCACAACTACGATATTAGCTCGGAACCAGCCTATTGCAAAATGGCAACAAGGCTACCCCTTAGTGCAATTTATTTGGTGATCAGCTTCGATTTTCGCTAGATTCGGGCGATTCCAATGCATTGCGCCACCAAGAGCTTGCCATGAAGAGTACATTTTTCAAGTTTACGGTCGACAAAACATGGCTCATCTGAATGAGTGTCAGTAGACAAGTTGAGCTAATATAGTATAGATATTAGGGCATGTCGTTCTGCCGCCTTACAAAAAACACCATATTGATAACAAGAAAAGAAAAGGGCAAACAGATCCTCGAATAATACGCTTCCGAAACTACTGACCGGAAAAACTAACGATTTCAAATGTCCCGCACTGCGAATTTGTCGACTCTCTCCCACAATGCACTGCGAAAAATGCACTCTCCGTGGCAAACTCTTGGTGGTGCACTGCATTGAGAATCGCCCTATATTAGAAAGTGTCTCGGGCAACTATCAATACAGAGATTTACTTTATTTTATTTATTGTAATTTTTAACGAGGGTAGTCCATTTCAGTTTAAAAAAACTGCTTTCCAAAGGAGCCCTCACAATAAAATTACATGAAAACAGAACGAAACAAAGAAAATAAAATTACAAAAATAGACAAGACTTTCTAAGACTTTTTTACACAAAACATATAGTATAAGTAAAAACTAACAGAGAGCATAAAAACACTTATTGCACATATACATTTGCCCATGTAGAATTAAAATTATTACATGGAATTACATGGAATTACATGGAGTCCCCCAGTAAACCTAAAAAAACCAGTGCTAGTAAAAAGCAAAACATCACAATTATCCCGATTTACACGTCAAAAATAAAATGCTCAGAAAGAAAAAAGTCAGACTGTAAAATAAATGCCTTGTCATTCCTCAAAGATTTGCATAAAGTCCCACAACAGTGCATGTAACCTAACCAAAAACCACATATAAACCAAACAGTTACACATGATGATTACTAAAAGTGTAGCTACATGTATAAACTGCTATCATATCACAAACCGTCCCCTCAGAACTGATTAAAAACCGGATTCATTTAAAATATGTCGTTTGAGTTTATGCAAAACAAGAGGGGCCAAACTTTCAGTAAAACCTATGCAATTTCATGGTTGAAAGTTGCCTTCGTGGGGACACTGGTGATTTTGCAGACTGGTTCTAATAACTTTCCATGCGCAAAGTTTCAATCATAATTAAAAAACAAAACAAATACTGCCCACGCGCGGAGGTGATCCAATCAATGGCCTTAAATAGGAACTATACCGATTCCCAAATTTATTGGGGGGGGGGGGACCAGTCTAGGTTTCTGAGGGATAGTATCTCTGGTTTATACTTTAAAGAGATGGAATCTAAGCATAGAGAAAACTACATTAGAAGGGCAGCTCAGGCCTCCAATTATACCAACCTTGCGTCGTTACATGCTTTTCCTAGGACAGTAGTAGTATTGAAGAATCCTGTTTCTTCAGCTTCATGCTATGTAGGCCTACAGTTAATGTTTTGGTGAACAATAAAGAAGAAAACCCTCGCATTCCGTTTCGTTACAAAATTGGTATTAAACTAGTAGCGGTTTTGAGGTGAAAACTGTTATGTCCCCCAAACCAAAGAGTAAACCCAACCCCGAAATGTACTCCCCAGAAACGGAACCAAAACAAAGTGGACATGAACAAAGCAAAGGCAAACCAGTTCACACCTTAATTAACAATTAATATTATTATTTCAACAGAACCAATACAAAACACTTTACACACAAATTCAATTTACGAGAATACCAATATACCATGATAGATTACCAGAGAGTGAGTGGTGGGGCGAGCAGGGAGTATAACAAAAAGTTCATAGTTCTTGTCTTGGTGGGTGCTCTATGATGACTCCGGTGATGAGCAGCAGGAAAAGGGGGAAAGGGGTTCCTCTATGGGTCCTCCCATTAAGCCCCTGTCACACTTTCGCGTATCCTAATTTCTTATGAGTTCCTTATCAAAAATTTTCAATACGCAGCCGTACGCTCAAAACGTCGAACTTTTTTGAAAACTTTGACTTATGTGCGACGCACATCTAGCGTACAAGTAACGAATTCAGCGCATCCATTTTGTATGAGATGCGTATGAGTTGCGTATGCAGTGCACAACATTATTTTTCGGGCTGCGAATAGGTCAGTATGCAGTGCGCATTCTGAGCGTATTCCGGACGCACCCGACTTATGCCGACCGCATGCCTGACGCAATACGTCGGCATTCGCTATGAGTTCGTTCAACGTGCGTTGTATCTGCGCTGCAAGTACGCTATGTATACGTCCAATATAGGCGGCTCATATGCTGACGGGGTGCGTGCCGGGAGGTCAGCGTATTACTGCGTATGAAAAGTCTTATCCCCCACGAACACATAGCGTACTCGTACCGTGCTCGACCGATGCGGGACCGATGCGCTGCGTATTTATAACTTATGACCTGCGCAACAGCGTACGCAGCGTAGTTTTGTGCATGCCCAAAACTATCCGGCGTACTGGGCCGTACCATGCGTATGCCTGCGTACATAAAACTTACACAAAACGATAGAGATGCATATGAAGTGCGTATTGTGCGTACGACTGCGTATGAAAAATATGTCAATGCGCAACTCATAAGGAATTAGGATACGCAAAAGTGTGACAGGGCCCTAATTAGGCAGCTAGTACAGTCAGTACGCCGTACTCGTGAGTTCACGCACGTCGGATCAGTACCCCCGTGAAGTGACGTCAGGGTCCGGTAACTCAGACCCAAGTCTCTTGTCCGACGAAGTCGCCAAACCCAAACCAGGCAGCACCCTAGCGGTGCAAACTCCAAACTTCCTTGAAGCTCCAATCTGCTGTCCAGTCGACGAGCGACATTCAGGGGGAGATCATCAGACAGCAGACTCCCGGTCTTGGTCTTCAGGTGCGTGCCCCGGGGAAAACTCCCCAACAGCCGGCAGTGGGCACAGTCGTGAAACTCACGGTCCTCTCCGTCCGATGGTATGGGATGAAAGGCACACCCCAAAGCTCGACGATCCATTTTATATGGGGACGAACATTCCAGGCACACCCGATGCATACCGTAAATTCTATTACTTTCCGCTCTCCGAATTTTTAACGATTGTTCATTCTAATTTGCATATCTAAACTGCTCACCCCAATTGGGTTAAACTGCTCGCCCCTTGAATAGTTGAAAAGGTTTAAGACATCGTTCCAGCCACTATTTTCTTTAACAAGAAAACCGATATTATGTAATACAGTTTTACATTCCACCAATAAATAATACATTTCTACAACTCTGGAATAAATATTAATTATACATCATCTTAACAAAACACATTAAAACAAAAACTGGAAAATGAATGTCGCGATGATGATAAGTTGTCCACTTGCCCACTGGCTGGGTCCGCCACTGACGACACAATTCTGATCATCTGAAAGAATAAACAACCACAGTTACCCAACCACAGTAGTGGCATAAGTCCATGTCGGCAAAAGGGGGGGGGGGGGGGGAGGGGGAGGGGAATGATCAAAATCATACAATTGGGGGACAACTTCACAAGGACATTTTTTTGGGGGGGTGTCAAAATAAAATCGTAAGCCTGTGTACGCGCGTGCGTGCCCATTGTCTATGGTCCGGAAAAATATAAATAAGAGCAACTTAGAAATGTACTCGTTTTTATGAATGAGAAATGAATCAAACAGCAGAATGGTGTATTTATTACAAATGTACAAAGACATTGGATTGGCTGCACACTATCTACGGCTGCACTGTTTAAATGCATGTGTGACGTGTTTTGTGTACTAGAGTACCAATATGTTTATAATGTTTTCATTAGCCAAATGTGTACATTTTAAGAATCTTAACAGCGCAGAAGATAAGCATAATTTATCTATCTGTTGATAAAGTGTTGGTAGAAAACTGGGTGGAGGCATGAAAAACTGGGGCGGGGCAAAAGTTCCCATGCCCCCCGCATCGCCGCAACTGGGGGATATTTACGCCCTTGAAGTTGTACCGAAGGCACATTAAAATACCATTTACTACATATCGCTTGACGTAGATCAAGGGCAGATCCAGAACCCCATTTTTTTTGGAGGGGGGGGGGGTAGGGGAAACAAATTTTGGTCCTCAAAAAGTGGTTCCCAAAAATTACGGCGTGGGGTTCAGGGCTCGCTAAAGTTTTGGATTCTAGATGCTCTGTGGTGCGATTTGAGGCAATTTCTGAGCACTTTAACCAATTTTTTTTAGGAAAAGATGATGGTGTACACAGTGCCTGCCTTTATTGCGACTTCACTTAAAAATAAAATAAAATTGGGGTTTTTTTTTTTGGGGGGGGGCACATGCCCCCCGTTGGCTCCCCAGGATCCGCCCTTGACGTAGATATTATGTTCTTACCCAACATTGCCCGAAGATCCTCCACGTAATTATTCCAGAAGTAACATTGGTCACTCCTGAAAGCTCGGCTCGTGGATAGGATCAGGTCTAGCACCTTGTACTCCAAACCAGCGGGGCTGAACACGGGCCAGATGTACTCTGAAATCGGCGGAGAATTCGGGGACTCCTTGCTTGGATCACTGATCAAAAACGAAACAGCGATAGTTTAAAAAAAATCCAATTGATATATAGCCATTAGTCCGGTCAGACCGGTATGCGTAAAATACTGCCTGAAACACTATGGTCATCAGTAATAGTTATTACGATGGACGCAAAGACATCATTATTCCATATTACCGAGGTCAAAACAATCTATCTTGTCTGCTGCACAAGAACATTTTCTGAGATGGAACGGTACAAAATATAGCACAAGGAGATGTTCAATCAATGACAACTTGTGCTTGAAAAAGAACTATTTGGATGAGTCTCCATGTACAAGCCGCAACATGAGCACGCAAAACTTGGCACATCGGGACACGAACCATTTTTTTCACAGTTACTATTAGGCGATATAGCCATTCAACAATCGACCATTATGCTTGCCGATGCCAAGTGGCAAAGCTTTAACAGTGAAAAGGACAACAACATTTTCCTAGAAGTAATGGTCGGTCTGAAATAATGGACTTAAATAAATACTGCAACATTAGAAAAACATGAGAAAGACGCTTAGGTGGCGGTTTGCCAGTCGCCAACCGACAGACATCATATATATGCGATTTGGTATGTATACCAATGAGAGTACCGTAAGACTTGTTGAGTATCACAGTGCTCACGTGAGTTACATTCTTAGTTACTCACCCACTCTTGGCAAAATTAGTCCACAATTTCATGAATTTGACAGAGAGTACTTTTTCATCGTCTGTTAGATAAGCCCAGGGGCTCCCTGGCGCGAACGCCCCACCGAAGACGAACGCAAGTTCTTCCGCGTGACCCGCCCCGATCCAGCGAGGTCCCGGCTGATCTTTGCGATACTTATAGTAGGACACGGTCGGAACGTGTGTCATCAAGTAGCGGTACACTTCATTCTTTGACGAATGATGTCGGGCGGTTGTGTCGACGGTGCATGTGAAGAACAAGTCACCTGCTAACTGCACAAGTGAGGGGTAGTAATCCGCGTCTTCGTACTCGGCTTGCGACCAGTCAATGTACCTCATTTTGGTGGCATTTAACACTGCTCCTTCACCGACAGCTGCGAAAGCAAAACAAAAGCCCCAAATGTACTGATTACACACAGTCCTCAGTTGAAAATGAGCAAACATTTTTGCCACTGAAGAAGTCCTCGTAAGGATGAAATATCAGGCCTCTGTATTTTTGGACAGTTCTAAGTTGAGTAAGTTGAGTAATTTAATACTGTCTCGATTCACACTCATCAGGCCGGTGAGAGGTTTCCTCGCATTGAACGACGGAGAATTATCATCAATTCTTCCAGGATGGCATGCCTAACAGACGGTGAATCCTTTGTGCAATGCCTGAATAAATCCCTACCATCTGATTTGTTCTACTCTACGGTAAATAGAAATTCCATTGCACAATCACAATTTGGCAGCTCTGACCAATCAGATGACGAGGATTTATTCAGGTGTTGTGTAAAACAAATAATTAAATGTTTCACATTTGTGCAATGTAAAAATACTTTATAATGGGAAAACGGTTGAAGAGATATATCTTTAAAAAAATATGCCGAACTATCTTAAAACCTACCGAATGTCTTGAAGGAGCTCACAAGGAATGCATCAAACAATGCCTTGTTGACAAAGGGCGGGTCTGGTTGAGTCAGGTACTCGGCAAACATGGGATTGAACGCAAAGAAAAACGTTCCCTCGTCAGCATTTGAGCCTATGAGCATCGGCACGTGGTTGTATGTTCCAGAAGCGTACGCTTCCAACGGGGTCATGGTCATGAATGTACCGTCAACGACAGGATAAATCCGTTCATAAATCTGAAATTCACAAACGGTTATGACTCAGGACTACTTTTGTGGACACAATGTGGCGTTTTCGTGGCGCCTTCAAAGTTGGGCATGCCAGGGAAGTATAGGTATAAGTATAGGTATGACATCTTGATTCTATAAGTTGCACCTCCTATTGGGCTATTCTGGACGGGTGCTTTGTTTATCCGAGAATGTAAAACAAAACCTTTGCAGTTTGCAGTTTATAGCACAATCCGGTTCGTTAGTAAAAAGTCATAAACGCGCGCGCACCACTGATTACTAGCGCCCATTAGATAAACGCTCGAGGTGCGTTAACTTCCGGTTCCATTCGTGCTACGCTACACCGTGTGAAGTATGCGTGGTGGAATGGAAATGACGTCACACTAACGAACCGAATGGTGACTGAAAGTGAAAAAGCGGAGTCGAGTTCCCAACTCGTGCAAAATAACAGAGGACTTTTCCATTAAAGTGTAACATTTAGGGATTTTAGGCTGAAGGAAATCAACGTTGGTGATGTCATACCGTTAATTGAGCCTGTATAAGATCATTGCCGTCTACGTCTTGCAGACAGGTTATCAGAGCTGCGCTGTCCGAGGTACTGCATCCAACAGTCTCGCCCAACTGGAAGGCCCTCTCGCGGAGCACCTTGTAACCTTCTTCGGTTAATGGCCCAACATCTGGCGAAATTGGCCCTTTACTCTACAGAAAAGTATCAATCTGGTCATCAATAGTTTTCTTACACTGGCAAGGTATTTATCATTGTAACGATCCAAACGAATTAGGCTGTCTTAAAATTCCACCAAGAATAAGCTCAGTCCTCAGATTTTATAGCCGTCATTTTGTAAACGTTACCAACAGTTACAAGTAAACGTGGTTGCGAGAATCATTTGGACAGTCTTTGGATAAAAAAAACCCATCATATCGCCAAAGCTTTACACGATTTTTAACACATATACACGGACCCAAATACCTATAGGTGGTGCCAAATGTAGCCTTGGGATTATAATCAACGTCGTGATTTTCATGATTATTTCTCAGTGACTGTTTAGCCTACCTCTATAATTGCTTGACTGAACAACCCCTTAGCCATGTCGGACAGCACGAGGAATCCGACCATTTCTGCTCCAGCACCCTCACCGAAGATCGTGACCCGCTGCTTGTTGCCGCCGAAAGCTGTCGGACAAAGTATGCATCTCGTACAGTCACGATAAACAGTTTGTAAGTGTTATGGATAGTTACCTACTTTCCGGCATTTGAACATTTTTGAGAAGCTATAGTGGCTACGTAGACTCTGCATAGAAGAGAACTTGTAAGCCATTTCCTCAAAGATCAGCAGGTTTCACTTCCTTTTCCAGCATGCTGGACAGGGGCGTAAAGGACAGGGGTGGATAGGATGGAGGGGGTGGGGGAAAATATATATCCCCCACTTTTTGACCGGGGGAGGAATGTGCCATTGCTTCATTCCCCTCTTTTTTCGAGGTGAAGACTAGAAACAAGAAAGGCGGATTTTGAGGTATTTTTCGTAATTCAAAACAACCAAAATGAATTCATTTTTGCTGATCAGTAATACTGAAAAAGGGAGAAAAAAAGTGCAAAAGCCGGGAAGACTTTGATTTAATGTACGGTTAAGGGGTATACATAAGATGTACATCGGTATAATCAACAGCGCCCCCTAATGTCTCACAATGGTGTCCAGCAAGGCTTCCCCACACGCTTTTCGAATGTCCACTGCCGGGCTTTTTTTATTATTATAGTCATCCCCCATACCCCAGTCATGTGCACCGGCACAGATTTACGCCACTGATGCCGGATATGTAAATATCAACTACTTGGGTGAATTTTTTCCCGTTTAGATCGTGAGGACTCAGCACGACTTCAACATGCTCTTCATAAATCAAGGACGCTATTATATGTACAGCTTATCCTCCTACCTTCTATGTTCTGTTGGACCCACTTCAAAGCCATGACATTATCCCACAGTGCCACATTGCCTGGCGATGCTTCGTCATCTGCAGTCAGGAGAAAAATTGTTTTTGAAAGACGAGGTGCTGATATTAGGTCACTCTCTTGCAAACAAGATTGCTCATATACAACAAAATAAGCCTGAAGGTGTGGTAATGGCATATTGTTATTTATGCTCAAAATAGCGGATCGTCTGCTAGTTCGCTGCTCCCTATCCCACTCATTTGCGAAAACATGGTAAAAATAGCGTGGATACCAACGATACAAGCGTTTCACACTGCACCGTACGTACTGTACATGCAAAGTCATAGCACACTGTGATATTCCAAAGGGAGTGTGCATTGACTTTTTATAAATTTATAAAAGTACAGTACTCAAGACAGAGGTATATCAATGGTGTTCGCCATTAGCATTTCTGAACCTCACAAACTCATAAAAGAGATTTATAGGCCGTCAGCTGGAAGTTAAAATTCGTTCGTCTCGCTCCAGCAATCGCGGGTCTAGATTTTTTTAACAGTTCTACCGAAATACACTACCAAAGAATTATACTACAGAAGTTCTCCACATTTCGTCCTGCAGTTTTTTGATAATTTGACTCGAAAAAGCGAACTATTTGTCCATTGTGGACGTTCAAAAACGTACCGCGCCTACGTTAAAAAAATCTACCGCGTATTCGGAAAATGCGAAGGATCTGATGTCCGGTGATAGTAAGTTCACTTCTTGTGCCAAAGAGTGGATGAATTTCACAATGGCATCGCCGAATATACCCACGATGTGAGGGCAGTGGATCTGCTATGTACAGTACACTACCGGCGCATGTAAACAAGGCAGTCCGGCCGGCCGACCTCACCCGTGGCGTTTTTTATAGATAGTTAACGTCTCAATGCTGCAAGAAAACGCAAACCAGACACTTCAGCTGAGACCCGGATTTCTTCACCGAAAAAGCTCCGGGCAAAGTTCAAGTTTGTGTTAATTGCCTATCCACATGAACTGTGTCTTGCTGCACACAAACTCAACCAGGATTTCGATTTCGATGAAATCGTTCAAGGACAAGCTGCTACAACAAGCAGAACTTCCGTTGGAGGTAGGCCTACATGTCATTATAATGAAGGCGATTGTGTATTTATTGCTTTTCTTGTCTCTCACACAATTAAGCATCATTAGCTAGAGCTCGACCTTTTGGGGTTGAGGAGTCCTTTCTTTTCTTTTTCTTACACAATAATCAATTAAATTAAATATTACTTACTTAACGAGATAATTAAACATAGTACATATCTACTATTAAAGTTTACCATCTTTGGCATCTGATCTCTTTTGTATTTGTTGTCTCTGAAAATATTTCCTCTTTTCTTTAATCACTAATTTTTTTGTTGCATTGTTACAATCTTAGGATACTAACACTTTTTTTCTTTTCAATTATAGTTCTGAACTTTGTTAACATTATGTTTTGTTCCATGTACTAACTAAGCTAATATAATTAGTAATTTATTTATTGGTAATATTTCTTTATCTTTTGTCAACTATTCTCTTATGATTTCACTTCTGTGTTTTAACCTTATCTCCGCTGTTTTGGAGGCCCATCTCGCCACAACTAGCCCTGAACTTTATTAACATTATATTTTGGTCAACGTACCAAATAACTCATTTCAAGTATTAATTTGTCGACTGTTTCTTCGTTGTTGTTGTCGGGTTTTTTATATCAAAAACTGATAACTTAAAGAGGTTGTGGAATGCTCGAAGACATTTCCGTCTTTTTTTGGATATTTGTAGCCTAAGGTATGATGAAATAAAAATGACTATTGTTTCTGTCATAAAATGAGTACAAAGGGTACTTTTGAGAGCTGTTTTTCAAGTCCTGTCATGCCTGTTTCGACCCAAACGTGCAATTTGTGTAAAAGTCGTCGTTGCGGGCAGCAAACAAAACACAGTAAATCGTGACGTAATAAACAGGGCTCCCGATGCAGAGTAGCATAAACGAGTCTCGTTTATTACGTCACGATTTACTGTGTTTTGTTTGCTGCCCGCAACGACGACTTTTACACAAATTGCACGTTCGGGTCGAAACAGGACCTGAAAAATAGCTCTCAAAAGTACCCTTTGTACTCATTTCATGACAGAAACAATAGTCGTTTTTATTTCATCACACCTTAGGCTACATATACCCCCAAAATGACGGAAATGTCTTCAAGCATTCCACAACCTCTTTAATGTTTTACCCTGTTATTTTCACTTTATCTATATATATATATATTTTTTTTCTTGTTACATTTGTTTCTTTGTAAGGACTCCTAACCCCAGAGGCTTGATGCCGTGTGTGGAAGGAGGGGTGGAGGAGGTGACGCAGTTGTTGTTCTTTCAAATGGCTGTTCTCTCTGTGCTGCCAAATTTGTTGCTGCCGTATTTCACCACACCCTACATTTCTTGAGAATTTAGGCTTTTGTGATTTTAATTTCCATTTAATTCGCTATTATATTATCTCTGGCGACTTCAGAGGAGGATTCAATACTGAAACTTTGGCTTAGAAAGCAAGACGTACGCTCCATCCTGTTGTTATGCCGTTACTGCACGAGATTTGATGAGAACTTTGATGTAGTGATAACATTTATTTAAAGTTGTATCAGCACAACTATTTAGCATTTGACATTTTAATGAAAATAATGAGTTACTTCTAGATTTCAAAACTACATGTATCCTTCTGTTCATTAGTGTTGGTTTTATTATTTTTATTTTTTTCATTTATTAAAAATTAGTGTATAGATCCCTCGTAACGGGGTGGAGTTGGGTGATGAGGTAGTACTAGTGTGGGTTGTAACTGACTGGTGAAGAGCTCTGGGTCTGGCTAAATTGGTGATTGGGAGGGCAACACGGGCCTAGTGAACAGGTGACGCTTTGAGAATAGTTAGCTTCCTTGCCTCAATGACTGCCGATTTATTCTTGCCAACCTGCCAGCCCAGCTGCCAATTCTCACTGTGTGAGAATTCGGCAGTGTAGTAAAAATACAAAGAATACAAATTACAAAAAGCACGCACATGTCAGTGTTATACAGGTATAAAATTACAATAAACGCGTACAGGTAGATCTATTTCCCCAAATTAAATAGACAATCTTCGCATGAAATAAGAATTACCTCAGGCAATGCTGAACATAAAGGAGCAGGCTCACATTTACACATGCTGGCCAGGCACATTCATACACACTATCAACCACTTTTATACACACCAGTCCTCAATGAACAGGAAGAGCCATTATTTACTTGTTTGTTATTATTCCCTAAATGTAAACCTTAGTATACAAATAACGAATGTTTGTAAGTGCGATGGTAAGAATAATTTCATGAGGTGACAGATTGAATGTTCTATTCCACGAGGCGAAGCCGAGTGGAATAGAACATTCAATCTGTCACCGAATGAAATTATTCTTTCCATCGCACGAACGTAAAACATTCGTTATTTGTTTTATACAACACCTGAATAAATTCTCGTCATTTGATTGGTAAATTATAAACTACAATTTATATCGATTTTAAAGATGTTGAACTACCCCTTCACGAAAATGTTTGAACCCAACGCTGTAGCGCTGGCTCTTTGGAACAATACACGCTACGCTGAACGCGCACACCAGCATGCATTTTGCACGCAAATACCGCGTCATGGAACAAGCGCAAAGTGAGACGGTATAACGCATGGGTATAACGCATGGTCGCACCGTGCATTATCCGGTTCGTAAGTGTGACGTCATCTCAACTTACTGTACATGGTGTAGCATGGCACCAATGGAACCGGAAGTTAACGCAACTTGAGTGTTTATCCAATGGGCGCTCGTAATCAGTGGTGCGTGCGTGTGTATGACGAAGTCACTTACGAACCGGATATCGAATAATAATATGTCACGTGATCTACAATTCACCAATCAGATGACGGGGATTTATTCAGGTGTTGTATAAATAATCATAGTACATGTACTGGAATCTGACAATGCGCAATAAGACCCATGTTAAATTATACATGAACATAAATACGTACGTAACGTTATACACAATTACATGGGAATATCACGCGTGCGCGCACCACGCTGTCACATTTTGCACGTGAACGCGTGTATGCCTATACTACACGCACAATGTTCGCTAAACTCTCCAAAACGAGCTCACACTTTGGAGCCCCAACCCTACATTCATATCTTATCAAAACTTTACTTTAATGTCTCAAGTATTATCTATGAACACTAGCGGACAAATCCTAATGCAATATTGAGTAGCGTGCAGTTTGCAAACAAATGATATTTCAATTCAAAAACGAGCTTCAAAAGTTGACAACGTACCTGTGTGAGAATTCGGCAGTGTGGTGCCGGTCAAGGGTTACGCAAGGCACAGGTCACAAACATAATAAGGGGCGTGGCTTAACTACATGTAAACACTACGTGCATTTTATACGCACACTCTACATAAGGGCCCTGTCACACTTCTGCGTATCCTAACTCCTTATGAGTTGCGCATTGTCATTTTTTTCATACGCAGTCGTACGCACAGTACGCACCCCATATGCATTTCTATCGTTTTGTGTAGGTTTTATGTACGCAGATATACGCATGGTACGGCCCAGTACACAGGATAGTTTTGGGCATGCACAAAACTACGCTGTTACGCAGGTCATAAGTTATAAATACGCAGCGCATCGGTTCCGCACATAGATATAGAACTTAAATAACGTTCTATATCTATGGTCCCGCATCGGTCGAGTGCGTTACGAGTACGCTTTGTTTTCGTGACGCACCCCGTCAGCATATGAACCGCCTGTATTGAACGTATACATAGCGTACTTGCAGCGCAGATGCAACACACGCTGAACGGCGAGCGGCGGAAATGCGGCGGGAATACGCTCAGAAGTGCGTCAAGCATGCGGTCGGCATAAGTCGGGTGCGTCCGGAATACGCTCGGCATGCGCACTGCATACTGACCTATTCGCAGCCCGAAAAATAATGTTGTGCACTGCATACACAACTCCTACGCATCTCATACGCAATGGATGCGCTGAATTCGTTACTTGTACGCTAGATGTCGCACATAAGTCAAAGTGATCAAAACATTTCGACGTTAATTGAGCGTACGGCTGCGTATTGAAATTTTTGATAAGGAACTCATAAGGAATTAGGATTCGCAAAGGTGTGACAGGGGCTTTAGTACCAGTAGAAAAGCAAATTCTGTGAATATTAACAGTGAGACTAGCCACATATTACAGCCAAATCACTCTCTTTAATGTGTAAGCATACAAAACAGCATGAGTTAAGGTTTTGTTTTCTTTTTATTGATATACATGTAAACATTTTTCGGTGCTAATCAATGTATCAATAAATAAATAGCTGAAATTTTCTTTAGCAAAAGACTTATTTCAAGGCTTTTCTCCAAACCAAGATGGCCAGGGCTGTTTTGGTCAGATAGCAAATACATGTACAATGGTTGATTTAACTATTAAACGAGACTCTGACTTCTGATGGTCCTTTGATTTACAACTGTATTTAAAGCCTGTTTCATTACAAAAAAGGTGGTCTTTCTTACAAGTAGAAGGTTCTTTAAGTGACGTACCTGGTTCACCACAGCAGATCCAGAGGGTTTGGGGGGCATAGCACCCATTTTTTTATTTTTTTTTTTTTTTTTTACATGTGTTAGTTTGCTTTGTTTGAAGGGGCATGTCTTGTCTGCTTTCCTGTGTTTCCTGTTGGTTACATGTACCGGTATTTATTTACTGTAAAGACACCTCCATTTTGGGCACTCCCTCACTTTCATTAATGATGAGCTGGTTCCACCACTGCATTATAAATCTTCATAATAATTGCATTGTTGTATGCTGCCAAATAACAAGTAGATCACAGTGAAATATTTTTGGGAGAAGGACTGTGGTGACGTCTACCAGATGAGAAAACAAAGGGTCATGTGCTGTGCTACCCAATTGCCAATATACAGAAAACATATTCTTTAACTCTTAAATCTCCTGGGTCAGATTGACCCAGAATCTGAATCCAAATTTGCTCAGTCCTTTTCTGGGTTAAAAAATACACATTTCAGTCAAAATGACCGAGAAACATGGGTTTTTTTTTTACTCCAAAGGGGTCATTTATGACTCCAAAAGGGGTCAATTTTTGACCCGGAAAAGGACTGAGCAGATTTGGATTCAGATTGCGCGTCAGTCTGACCCTGGAGTTTCTAGAGTGTAGGATGTGACAAGCTATAGTGCTGTAGTTTTGAAATTGGAAGTGCCAACGCAAGGCCTCAAACCGGAAAATGTGAGTTTTTAGCATACATACATGACTTTTGTACAATGTACATAAACATTGGCAAACTTTGATGAAGTGTTAAAAAAAACTGCAGCAGATTTGTTGGAGAACTTCTGACATAGTGTTTGTGATGTACTGAACCCCACATATGTGCATTAAAAAAAAAATAGACCCAGTGTTGCTGGAACGAAACTCGTTTTACATGAGCCGGTTTTTTGAGTTTCAGCCGATGGCCTATTATTGTCACATGGTGCTACCGTAAATCTTTATCTTATGCTTTTCTTCGCCCATTAATGTGTGTCGTTTCCTATAAGACAGAAGAGGAATACTCTCCCTTTTTTAATTTGTGCAGCATTGACAGGAATGTGTATTCATCAATGAGCTCACATTATGAGGACCTCATGCAGCCATGGTCTTGCAAAAGGGTTCTTGGGCGAAAACATCTTACCTGTTGACAGAAATCCGAAGACGCCTAAGCGATAGTTGACGGTAACTACAATGACGTCACCCACAGCAGCCAATGGCAGCCCATTATAGATGGATTCTCTTGCAGACCCAAACGTGAATCCACCGCCATGGATCCAGACCATAACAGCAGCTCCCCCAGCCTTAAAACAGAAACACAATCAGTTTACGTGCAGTAGACTGTGGTTTACACGGTAAAGCAAATCTACAAATGAAATTGAGCCATATTTAGGGTTCATGACAAGCTTAAGAAGTATTGAGACTGCTAACTTGTCCCAGCATGTGTGACTCGCATAATACCTACGACAGACACCCCTTCCTTTTCTGTTAAAATATTTGATGGGCATAAAAACATTATCAGGCCTATTTGGTGGGTATCCTCCCACTTCGACTCACCATCCGTTGATTGGGTGCGAAGACATTGAGATAAAGACAGTCTTCGTTTATCACCAAACTCAACCCGACGTTACGATCTTGAAGACAAGCAGGCCTGAAGTAGGTTGCATCATATATCCCATTCCACGCCATCTTCTCTACCGGAGGCTTGAAGCGCAGCTCACCGAGAGGCGGCTCAGCAAACGGTATCCCCTTGAAGACATCCACCTTCGTGCCTCCTGCTCCGGTGAACTTGTCTTCTATGAAGATCTGGGTTGTGCCGTGGATTACACCCTGCTGCACCGTAACCAAGGGCTGGGATGTTGTGGCTACTACTAAGCTGAGGACGATCAGGAACGCAGAAAATGTCTTTCCAGTCATCGTGTTGATGTGCAGAATGTTCCCGTTGAGATATCGGTGTGCTTTATTCAATGGCGACTCCACCCACTGACACTACCAAACATATGTTCATTGTATGGCAATGATTAATAACGATCTGTTGATAAGTAACATTTTCCACACAAACCAAAGGTAGATTAAACTGGTCACATGGTCCTGATATCGCCGAAATTGTTATGTTTAAGAGTTTTTAATTATTTCAAAACTCTGTTTGAAAGGGGAACTTACCTCATGTCGCAATGTTGTTTTTTTTTTAAGAAAAATCCCCAACACAGTTGTTTACTTCTGACGTGGCTGATATTTTTAGAATAGGCATTTACGTATTTCCAGACGTAAATATATTGAAGTCTCCCCTTTGGACGTTGCCCCCAAACTTATGCGTTAATGATTTAAGACAATTAAAGGTACAGTACGTACAAATCGGACAAGTGCACACACTATACAATAATGTATGAATGTTGTGATGGGTCCATGGTGTTTTGTACACTCAAGGGTGTCATTTGCACCCGAGGGTGCACAAAACCCATGAACCCCAATCACGGCAGGCAATTATTGTTTTGTTATACCACGGTAATAGCCTAGATTGCAACCGTCTGAAATTGTGGCTTTCCTCCAGTTGCCGTGCAGTAATCGCGGAGGTATTATTTTGAAAAGATCTGCGATTACTGCACCCTGAATACGCACAGAATGTTTTTTTCATTGCACGGGAACAAAATTAATGTACCATTTCCCAGAATAGACACCAATCATCCATCTGACATATGCGCGCGCATTCATCCGACATGCGTACTTCGCGCGAGTGCGCGCTGTATGAAACCTCTTACCCGGGCTATTTCTATCATACAAAACACCCTTGGTTTAAATCGCACTTTGACGCTTTACAGGACGTCGTTTTTTTTAAATTTCGACAGTGCGAAATACCGTGTTTTGCATTATAATATCGTTGCCTGGAGACCGCGATCGATTGCCCTTTGCCTTGACAGTGATTGTACTGCTGCAGCTTCGAATGCCTGTCATTGTTAATTTTAGCAGTGCTGGGATAGGCCTGAGGGTGTAGGTCGATTACAAGAATTTACTTATAGTAGAGATAGATATAAACTAGGGATTCCCCAAATTAACGCTAGACATTGGCGTTCGATAACTGCGTATGCTTTCTCGCGCGGTAGTATATCTTACGACTTGAGGACGCCATCGGGAGCATATGTATTCAAAAATCAGTCTATCCCGCACATGCGCGCTAACATTTCGTCATGGTGTAAATCGAGGACTTTCTATTGTTGCTCTTCCCTTTTCCTTTGTTTATACTCTATACTTTTAGCAACAGCTCTCATTGGTTTTGTACACGTTTTTTTAAATCGAGGTCGTCCTCGATTTGGTTCCTGTCCTCGATTCATTGATGATGTTACTCGAGTGTGTCCTCGATTTACACCATAGACAAACATGTTTCTCACCCACGTGTATATTTGCCTGCAATCTCCCTTGTTTTTACTCTTTTTAGGAAGACCTCCCATATGTTTTGTACATAAATCCAAATTGGGGACCTACGGGAATTGGGGACCATGTTTTCCTCTATTGTTCAACGTCCCCAATTGAATGCAGAAACAAACTAACGCACACCACAACTGACCATTTCACTCAGTGTTCCCCTAATCCGTCCCTACCTCATCCTGATACGAAATCAATCCTGTCCTGGACCAGCCCATACACCATTACCATACACATCGCCAAATTATAGGGGGCGCGCTTTCAGGTGATGTCACCATCACACTAACGGGTGCAGTCCTGTAAATGGTCCCAGAATTGCCTACGCGAGCCAAATCACGATTTTTGTATGCCCAATCACGATTTACATGCCCCCCTCTTTGCTTTTGGAGCATTTGTGGACCATGAACTGAAAAGTTTGTAAACAAGGAGTGTTATAGGAGTGTGAGCTCGTATTACTGTGAAAGTCAGATGAAATTGGGCCCTACCATTGCTTTATTTTGCAATGGAGAGCAGGCATACTTTTCAAAATGGCGATGGGCTACAGGACTACTTTGGATGGAAGTTTCATCCATAAGTACTAGGGTTACATTACAACTAAACATTGAACAGAAAATGAAAGATGATGAAATAAGCTTTAATTTGATGGGTGTCTCAAACACATTGGAGAGTTGTGAATACTTAAATAGTTTTTGGAAGCACACGTAATTATCACTGAGGTCTATGGGAGTTGATTTACAAGTCAGCACTCTTACTCAAGTTTTTGCATACCGTTCTCAACATTGGAATTATTTGAATGTTAAAAAAGTGCACTTTACAATAAAATTAACCGAAAAGGGATGTCAAATAGTTTACATTCATTTAGGGGAGAAGAAGGTTGCACAAAATATGTTTCTTATGCCCCCTGTATACAGCGCTGCGACCACCTATGAGCGACCAAAAAATGGCCAGGACGCTCAATGGTCGCACCCTTTGTGGATCAAGCCCCAAAAAAAATACGCGGTGGAACCAAGTGGAGAATTTTATCACCACATGCGCTTATAGGTCAAAAACCCTGACATGCCTGTACATGCACAAGATAAAGGCCATTCACATGGCCAGGGATTGTTTACAACCTGTCGGAGCTCTGGGCGGCACGAGGGGTTGACACAAAGGATCGGTGGCACTTAGGGGTTGGCCACTAAGATCTCCCATTACTGCACAAAGGCATTAGGCGCCATCTTGGCTTCTGTCTTTCAACACTCCTTACTCCGGAGTGGCTACACAGTCATACCAGATTAGCGGAACTGATTATTCAGTGTAATAGGATATTACGTTTAATATGAACACAAGACGATAAACGCTCATGCATAGCGAACAACAGTGATAGTTCAATAGCATCTGAACTATAGGGTCTGGCCAATGGGAGTCTACAGGCTTGTGGTGTATAGAAGGGGTGAGGATTACATGGAAGCTTGGCCTTATTGGCCCCCCCCAAAAAAAAATTACGCCCATATTGGAAAATGTGGAGAATTTTAACACCGCGTGGCTGCTGCGAGGGTTTTTAATAATTAATTAACCCAGAAATCCTGTTTCCATGTATCCAACGATCCTTGTGCCTCTCTTGAACCACCAAAACTGCAATTTTCGTGCATTTTTATGTCGAGCTACCGACGACCTGTACGTCCAATGAGCCACCTGCCAGCCTCCCCTGTGCTTCCCCTGTGCGCCCTACGGCCATGGTGCCTCAAGGGTTGCCGTGGTCGCCAAATGGAGGCACATCGGTCGCCACAGTTTAATGCACGCTATTGGTCGGCCAAAGGAGGCACAAGGGAGGCAACAGAACGGATCTATTACATGGCGACCATTGGCCGACCATTGTGCATCCATTCTGCAACCACGGCAATGCTTGTGCCTCCCCTCTGCCGCATTAATTTGAGCCACCTTTGAGCAACCAACCTCCTCGGCGACATTGTGCGACTGTTTTGAACATTACGGCTACCATGGCGTCCATGGCAATGTCTGGACATCCTGTGTACCACCTTTTGAACGACCTAGGCAACCATTCGGCCTCCTTCGATCCCCAAAGGTCGCAGCCCTGGCCCTGTGTAAAGGGGTCTAAGGGCCCTGTCAGACTGTCTGCAATCGGGGGTGATAATGGGGATGAAAACCAAAATTTTGGAATATGATTGCGCCCACTTAAGAGGTGATGTATTGGGTCATTTGAGGGATATTTTACATGGGAAGTGGGTATCAAGCATGAAATAAACCCCCACCCCACCCCAAAAAACTAAAACTGCACTGTACGCACAGTGGACGGGCAGTAAGTTATTGCGATATGAATGCCTTTTTTGCCGATTTAAATCAATTTGGTATATTTTATATTGAACACAACACTGAAGTCAGTAAGACTTTCATACATGAGCACATAACTAACAATTTAATATATTAAGAACATTATAAATGCACTAATATCACTAAATATCACAGAATGTCGGCGGCATAGATATACATGTGAGTATAAAATCTCCTACTAGTATAAAACTGATGTAAGGGTCTTTCCACACAAATGGTAACAGAAGTGTGACATTTAGAGGGAACCATGGTCGATGATACATGAAGTAATCTGTCATGTTTTTCCTTTGTTTATATCCAATATCCAAGTGAGAACGTTCCCCACCAGCAAGTTTGATACGTTTTTAAGTGTTTGGAAGCAGTAAATGAAAACACGAATTATCCCAAATTTGTTCCTAAGGGTACACACCGGTAAATCGATCTGCCAAGCTCATGAATAAAGGTTATACCCTCAAAATATTCTATATTAGAGAGTTCTGAGCGCCGTAAAATTGGGGAATTGAAGAGATATGGTAGTGAACCTCTGGCCCGGACTTGGGGCTTCCAATTCTGAGCATTTTGGATGCTATTGGGCTCGAAAGTGGCGCTTTTTTGCCATGTTGTGGAGGGATCGTTTTTCAAGATGGCTACTTTTCCGCTTTGGGGAAAATAGGGGTCGTCTTCTTTGCGTGAAAATATCTCGAAAAGTCAATGGTCAACCCACCATAAATTGAAAAGAAATTGAAAGATGACACATTGATCATCATTTTTCTGTGCAGCTTGAATACCTGTGAGAGTTTTGAGTATTTTTAAAAGAATTTTGAAGTACGGGCATTTAGCACTAGTGTCTATGGGAGATTATTTGCAGGTATGCACCCTATAAAGAATCACAAAGATGGCCGTTTCGCGCATGCGCTGTGCCGCGGCAGTGGTCTTTTCAGTGGGCGGAACCTACGGGGAGGGGGAAAAAGTGTTTTAAAGGTATCAACAAGGGTTTTTTTCCGTAACGGATGCTTCCAAATCATAAGGGAGCAGTAGGCTATCACCCGATTACAACAATTGATAGTTGAAAAGGGGGGGGGGGGCATTTTGAGCTTTAAAGTAGCTGGAACTCAATTTATTGTCGCTGGGGGCGCTCTACAGCTTAGCAGGGGCAAAACAATCACTATTTTCGGGCTTAATATCGA